TAATATTACTGAAATTAACTTTAAAAACTGAATAAATATAAATTTACACAAGTGAATAAATAGACTCGATGATGGGTTAAAAATCTGTGGATTTCTGTGGTATCCGCAGGGTCCAATATGGGTGGACCTCCACTCTTTAGTGTTGTTTTATGTAATTTCAGTGTATTAATTGTAAATCTTGTGTTTTCTGCAGGAGCCTCTGTCTGTCGCTCAGCTGTGGACGATGTTTCGCTCGCTGCAGCCAAACTTCTGCTTCTCCTACGCGGCGTATCATTATTACCGCAGTAAAGGCTGGGTGCCGAAGTCTGGAGTTAAATACGGCACCGACTTAAGTAAGACACAAAAAAAGAAGTCGCTAGTAATTTGTTAATAAGTTAACTACACTATAATAAGTGTATGCTGTGAATAATAAAGTGTCTACAACTCTGTTAATGAATGCCTGACATACCGCAGTATTAACTATAGTGAACTGATACACCGTAATACACACTTTATAATAACTGCACAGTGTAAATAATTTATTAAGCATTAGCAAATATCCGTAAATGCTCCTACAGGCTGTACGGTGACAGTAAATGTGTTTTAATCTACTGCACTTCACACATGACAAAACTAATATGAAATACATTCAGGAGACACGCAGACCTTTCCAGCGATATACAGTTGACGGCTAAATTATTCGCCCTTCTCAAATATTTTTTTAACAAATTCAGGAATTTCTCACAGGATTTCCTAAATATATTTTCTTCTGGAGAGTCTTATTTGTTTTATTTCGGCTTTTCGATAATATTCGCCCCCTTCAGCAATATTAGTGTTGGATTGCAAACCACTGTTATACAATGCCTTGCCTAATTACCCTAACTTTACCCTGATTACCCTAGTTAATGTCACTTTAAGCTGGACGCTAGTGTGTTGAAGAATATCCGGTTTAATATTATGTGCTGTCATCATGACAAAGAGGAAATAAATCAGATATTGGAGATGAGTTTAATGTTTAGAGATGTCTTCTCATCATTAGTTTAACCACTAATGGGTTAAACTGGACGCTTGCTGTCTCGTCTGTAAGGGCACAGAGTCCTCCAGTGTTTATTTGTGTGTCTGTGAAAGATTCATCGCTCACCCGGATCTGACAGAGTCCAGCGGGTCGGAGATTTTCCAGTAGTGTCGGTAACACAGCAGCAGGACGCACAGATGAATTATTCAGCTGTATTAAGCATTGCTTTCCTCGCTCCCCGACCCGCTGCACCGCCGTCTCTTTGACACCGCATGGAAAGGAGAGTCTTGGCTGTGAATTCTGACTCGGTGCGTCTGCTGTGTTGACACTCGACTCGGACGCCTGCTGAAATATACATCTCAGATTGTCATGCGCTGATAGTGTTTGTGTTTCTCTCTCTCTCTTCTAGTGCTCTACAGAAAAGGACCGCCGTTTTATCATGCAAGGTGTGTTTCAGGCAGACATGATGTTCAAAAATGAACATTTTCTTATTAAATTGCGATGTGTGTTACTCGAGTGGCTCTAAACCTTATGGAAAAACATTGGCATATTTTGTTTTGCTGCATTATAAATTGCAATATAAATATAGTTTAGATGAATTGAATAGCTTTATTCAGAAAGATTTCATTCATTTAGATATGTTGATATGATCAAGTCATTTTCTATGCAGTGCATTTGCATAAATTCTAATAAATGACTGGCATATATACACACAACAGAGCAGATACTCAGTGAGAGTCTAAACAGTACTCTGCTACAGAAATTAAACAACCAAATAAAAACAGAACATGGTCAACAGTGTATAAACAATTTAAATATAATAATATTTTAAAAATCTCTTTGTTTTAATCTTTAATGAACAATCTAACCCTGCGACGGGACTATTGTGGATAAATTGCGATATCGATGCTATTGCTAAACTGCTGTATGTGTCTTCTGTCGAACACCAAACTTGAACTGAATGGTGTGTAATTAAAGTGTTGTGTGTTTGTGTTCAGTTATTCAGTGGTTGTGGATGTAGTGTTATTGTGTGTTATTAAAGTGTTGTGTGTTTGTGTTCAGTTATTCAGTGGTTGTGGATACAGTAGACGCGTCTTTCAGAAGATCATCTCTGCGTCCCTTCAGCTGGAGATCTCTGGCCACTCTCAGCAGAACCACTGGAAACGTCTCCAAGGTGAAACATCATATAAGGTTTTTTTTCTTCACTCTCATCAGGTGAAGTTTTTTTCCCTCTCTGCTGTCACCACTGGCTCGCATGGTTCAGGATTGGTAGAGCTACGCATTGATGAATTTGCTCTTCAGTATTTGAACTCTCAGTAATGATTTTAAATCACACTGAACTGAGCTAAACTGAACTGAACTTAAACACTAAAAACTGAACTACACTGTTCCAGTTACTATGACCATTTATGTGAAGCTGCTTTGACACAATCTACATTGTAAAAGCGCTATACAAATAAAGCTGAATTGAATTGAATATATCCAGTCACACTGATTTCTGTAGAGCTTTCTATACGATAACCACATCATATATCATGTCACATTTATATCTGTAGTGCTTTATATACTATAACCACATCATAAATCCATAAGTATAATAAATGTTTTTAAACATATTTTAATTTTGCAAAAGCTAAATTTGACAGAAAATCAAAGCTAAATATCTGAACAAATCATATTAAAAATTTGACATTGATATCTCCAAAAAATGAGCTTACAGATTCAGTTTGGCCGCAGTACCAGACATCACCACTGGGTGACATTCAGTTTCCTTTGGTGACCATAGAAGAGCGCCCCCTATGTTTTGAGGAATATGAAATGTATTTTTCATATTTTTGACAATATTTGTGAATTAAAAATACAATTCTAAAGTAGTATGGGCAGTTGGGTGGTGTTTGATTTGAGTTTAGCCTCTTAAAAAAAAATCTAAAAGTGTGATAACAGCAGCCAGAAATAAAACAACGTCTCAGCCCCATACACACTGCATTACAAACAACATAATTATTTTAGTGTGTGTGTGTGCGTGCGTGCGTGTGTGTTTTGTCTGCAGGAACTGATGCTCTGCTTCATCATCACTCCATCAGATGTGACTGGAGATCTGCTGGTTTCTCCTCAGTGTCTCAAACGCTTCTCAGTGCAGGTCAGATCGCAGGACACACTTTACATCCAATTACATTCATCAAATGTTATACATTAAACACACTAAATTATTCACCCTCCTGTGAAATTAAGTCTTTTCCAAATGATGTGTAACAGATTTATTTTTAAACCTAATAGGGTAACACTTTAGAGTAATGGTCCATTAGTTAAATCCACATGAAATCAAACTAACCATGTTAATGTTGAGAGCTCACGGTTCATGAACAATTCATCTGTGCATGTCATTAAGAAAAAAAAATAGAGTTTCAATCTTTGATTGCCATCTGAAAATGCACTGTGTGTTTGTTTTCTGTTAAATTCCCAGATTAGGTCTCTCTGAGGTTGTGGGTGTGGCTAGCATACTTAACCACGCCCCTCCAGCTATCAGTTTTAACATCAAACTGAAGTGGTGAGGGGAAGGAGTCTTTTAGGTTGTAATAACTCTCCCCAAACCCGTCTCTCCTTCTTTCTAAATGAAACGCCTACTTCACTACAGCCAATCAGCTCCCAGTATAAAAAACAAGCCACTCCCACTGTTTTCTCATGTAATATTACGTATCTCTAGGAACTGCGTCACAATACAAAAAAAAAGGTCACAGCTTTCAGTTCACGTGGACTTTAAACATATTTACTAACATTAGGTATGAATAATCTTGTACAGCATTTATTAATCATAGTTCAACATTAACTGATGCTTTAGTAAAATCTGAACTTGAGCTTGCTAACATTAGGTAATACACTGCGAGTTAACCTGAACTAATGTTATTTAACTTAAAAGAAAACATTA